TATAGACGCAAAAATTCTCAACAAAATTCTAGCCAATACAATTCAGCATCATATCAAAAAGATAATACACCACGACCAAGTAGGATTCCTACCAGGTATGCAAGGGTGGTTCAACATTAGAAAATCAATGTAATCCATTACATAAATAAAAGGAAACAAAAGAGTCACATGATCACCTCAGTTGATGCATAAAAGACATTTGAAAAAATCCAACACCCGTTCCTGATAAAAACTCTCAATAAAGTAGGTATAGAAGGGAAATTTCTCAACATAATAAAGGGCATCTATGGAAAACGGATGGCCAACATCATTCTTAATGGAGAGAGGCTGAAAACATTCCCCGTGAAAACAAGAACAAGACAAGGATGCCCTTTATCACTCCTATTTAACACTGTACTGGAAGTCCTAGCTAGAGTAATAAGGCAAGACAAAGAAATAAAGGGCATCCAAATTGGTAATGAAGAAGTTAAACTGTCCCTGTTTGCGGATATGATACTATACATAGAAAACCCTAAAGACTCCATGAGGAAACTACTAGAACTGATAGAAAGATTCAACAGAGTAGCAGAATACAAGGTAAACATACAAAAATCAGTTGGATTCCTATATGCCAATAAAGAGAATGATGAAAAGGAAATCAGGAAAACAACACCATTTATAATAGCCCCTAAAAAAATAAAATACTTCGGAACAAATCTCACCAGGGATGTAAAAGACCTATACAAAGAAAACTACAAAACACTCCTGCAAGAATCCCAGAGGGATCTACATAAATGGAAAAACATACCATGCTCATGGATAGGTAGACTCAACATTGTGAAAACGACAATTCTACCAAAAGCAATTTACAAAACAATGCAATCCCCACCCAAATACCTATAACATTATTTAAAGAGATGGAAAAACTAATCATTAACTTTATATGGAAAGGGAAGAAGCCCCGGAAAAGTAAAGCACTATTGAAAAAGAAGAATAAAGTAGGAGGACTCACACTACCTGACCTAAGAATCTACTGTACAGCCACAGTAGTCGGAACAGCTTGGTACTGGTACAATAACAAGATACACTGAGCAATGGAACAGAATTGAGAACCCAGATGTAAATTCATCCACCTACGGTCACCTGATCTTTGACAAGAGCCCAAACTCCATCACATGGGAATCAAACAGTCTTTTTAACAAATGGTGCTGGCAAAACTGGATGTCCATCTGCAAAATAATGAAAGGACCCATATCTCACACCATATACAAAAACTAATTCAAAATGGATCAAAGACCTGAATATAAAGCCAAAAACTATAAAGCTCATAGAAAAAAAAAATAGGATCAATGCTAGAGGCCCTAATACACGAGGATACAAACCATAATCAACAACACAAAAACTCTAGAAGATAAGCTAGATAACTCAGATCTTCTAAAAATTAAACACTTATGCTCATCAAAAGACTTCACCAAAAGAGTAAAAAGAGAACCTACAGACTGGGAAAAAGTTTTTGGACATTACACGTCAGACAAAGGTCTAATCTCTAAAATCTACAAGAAAATCCAACATCTCTACAACAAAAACACAAATAATCCAATTAAAAAACGGGCAAAGGAAATGAACAGACACTTCATCAAAGAAGACATTCAAGCGGCCAGCAGACACTTGAGGAAATGCTCATGATCACTAGCATTAGAGAAATGCAAATTAAAACCACAATGAGATACCACCTCACCCCGGCATTACTGGCACGTATCAAAAAACACTGGAAATAACAAATGATGAGGGGCTGTGGGGAGACTGGAACTCTTATGCACTGCTGGTGAGAATGCAAAATGATACAACCATTTTGGAAAGTGATATGGCGCTTCCTTAGAAAGCTAGGAATAGAAATACCATACGATCCAGCAATCCTACTCCTAGGAATATATCCTAGAGAAACAAGAGCCGACACACGAACAGACATGCACATCCACGTTCACTGCAGCATTGTTCACAATAGCAAAAATATGGAAACAACCTAGATGCCCATCAACAGATGAATGAATCAACAAACTATGGTACCTACACACAATGGAGTATTATGCAGTGGTAAAGAACAACGATGAATCTGTGAAGCATCTCATAACGTGGATGAAACTGGAGGACATTATGCTGAGTGAAATGAGTCAATCACAAAAGGACAAATATTGTATGAGACCTCTACTGTAAAAACTCACGAAAAAGTTTACGCATAAAAAGTAACAATCTTTGTTGGTTAAGAGGGGTGGGAGGGGTAGGGGGGAAATACTAAACAGACAATAGATAAGTGGTAACTTTGGTGAAGGGTAAGACAGTAAACAACACTGGGGAAGCCAGCACAACTTGTAAAAGGAAATGTTATGGAATCTTCATAGACATATCCAGACTCCCTGAGGGACTGAATTGCTGGGTGGAGGGTCGTGGGGACCATGGTCCCAGGGAACATCTAGCTCAATTGGCATAACACAGTTTGTAAAGAAAATGTTCTGCATTCTACTTTGGTGAGTAGCGTCTGGGGTCTTAAAAAAGCCTGGGAGCAGCCATCTAAGGTACTCAACTGGTCTCACCCCTTCGGGAGCAAGAGAGAATGAAGAAAACAAGATACAAGGAAAAGACTAGTCCAAAGGACTAATGGACCACAGCTACCATGGCCTTCACCAGACTGACTCCAGTACAACTAGATGGTGCCCGGCTACCACCACTGACTGCTCTGACCGGTATCACAACAGAGTGCCCTGGACAGAGCTGGAGAAAAAGGTAGAACAGAATTCTAACTCACAATAAAAGACCAGAGTTACTGGCCTGACAGAGACTGGAGAAACCTTGAGAGTATGGCCCCTGGACACCCTTTTAGCTCAGTAATGAAGTCACTACCGAGGTCACCATTCAGCCAAAGGTTACATAGCCCCATAAAACAAAAATGGGACTAATGGGGCACAGCAGTCCAGGGACAAGGATTAGAAGGCGGGAGGGGCAGGAAAGCTGGTAATAGGGAACCCAAGGTTGAGAAGGGACAGTGGTGACATGTTGTGGGGTTGTTAACCATTGTCATAAAACAATATGTGTACTAACTGTTTAATGAGAAACTATTTGCTCTGTAAACCTTCATCTAAAGCACAGTAAAAAAAATTAATAAAAAAGTAAAAGAAATCAAAAGACACATTGCATTGAGCAAATCTGGTGCAAAAGAACTCTTTAAAGTTTTGAAAAGCAAAGATAACACTTTGAGGACTAAGGTGCACCTGACCCAAGCCATCATATTTTCAGTCCCCTCATATGCATGTGAAAGCTGGATGATGAATAAGGAAAACCAAAGAAGAATTGATGCCTTTGAATGATGGTGTTGGTGAAGAATATTGAATATACCATGGACTGCCATAAGAACGAACAAATCTGTCTTGGAAGAAGTACAACCAGAATGCTTCTTACAACATAATGTTTTTATGGCCTTTTTACTAGACAAATTTAATACAGGTACTGTGCCTGTTGGTTGCACAGTGGGTAACCATTGGACTGCTAACCCAAGGGTTGGCAGTTCGAATCCACCAGCCGCTCCTTGGGAACCTTATGGGACAGTTCTTCTCTGTTCTGTAGGGTCACTATGGGTCAGAATTACCTCGACAGCAACAGGTTTGGTTTGGACTATGTCTACGTCACAGTTTTAACTTCTGCATTTAGCACAATGTCTAAACTTTGTGAATCAGTTTTCCCTTTGAATTATTTAGAAAAGAATCAATCCAAGGCAGTGATAACAAAAAATAAAGAAAATTTAATGCAGGGCGCTTGAGCAGAAGCTCAAAGCCTGTAGTAGGATGGAAGCTGAGGTAAAGCTATGGGTTATAATTGTGTGATGAAAGTTAAAGAGGGGTCAATTGATAGAAAACCTAGTCTACTTACCAGGTTAGAAATTAACTCTGCACTGGCCTCTGAGAAAATAGTGTCTCTACTAAACAGTCCTTCTTAGATCATACTTCGCTTTCCAAGACTCATATAGAGACTTTCTGCCACAGGTAGTCCCTGACTTAAACAACATATTCGAGTTACCAAGTTACCAAGCTACCAAGCTGCACTTATGACCATCCTTTTTTTTTTTTTTTTATTGTTCATCTTATCGTTAGTAATATGTTGCTGTGCATAATTTGCTGATGTTATTCTCAGATGTTCACTCGCAGATGTTCAATTTCATGATTTACTGTTCAAAACACTAACAGATTTATAAAGATACTGATTTAAAAACAGACAATAATAATGAAAACTAAAAACAAAAATGAGGTATTCGACTTACATCAGAACAGACATACAACGGAGTTGTCAGAACGAAACCCCGTCATTAACTCAGAGACTACCTGTATTTAAAGTGAATATCATGACGTGTTATTCTCTGATTGGTCTGTATTTACTTCCAATGAATTTTTTTTTTCCTCTTTAACTCTTTAGGAAAGAAGAATTAATTCTTCTGAAAGGTTAAGACATTTTTTAACTTCCTCTAGTCATCAGCATTAAAGTTAGTAGATCCTCAGTCTATCACGTATAGAATGAAATGAAAGATTATGAAGTAAAATGTTCTAAAAAGGGTTTTTCCTCTTCACCATAACTCCTGAGCCCTGATTGCACTCTAGATATTCTGTTCCTACACCAAAACAATTTATTCCCGCTTTTCATGTACTTGTTTATTTCCATCTTTTAGTCTGTAGTCTTCTTGAGAGCAACGACTATGTCGTATTCAGCATTGTATCCTCTGCACCTGGCATAGCACCTAGCATAGGAGGAGCATATGAACGTTTAATGTGGAGATGTATCAAACTTGCATCAAATGTGAACTTTGGGAAGTTATGTCTGCTTGTGTCAAAAAATGTTGAATCTTCTTTTGTCTCCACTGTCTTAAAGAGATTTGAATTTATTCAAAATACTGTAGCAATCATTTGTCATGTTCTTGCCAGAACAACTCATTTGGCTCAAATGCTTTAAAATACTATTTTTCTTTTGCTTTATTTTAGAACTGAACGATGCCACAAAAACATTCTTTGCTAAAGAATATTTGAAAATAAAACAAAGCTTTCAGAAATCCAGCACTGCAAAGTGGCCACTACCAAGCTGCAGAAAAGCATTCCATCTTTTTGGAGGTAAGGAAATGAATGCAGAAAAAACAACAGTCTGGTAACTTTGTCCAAGATCTCTTCTTAAAGCTGTTGTCCTCCTGCCTTAGGAATGTTAGTGAAAAAATATCCCTGTATTGATCAATTTTATGTAAGGATTTTGCTAAGTATCTCCTTGCTGAAAGCTACAGTGTGCATATGAAGAGAATAAATAGTATACAAAAAGAGCAAATTTAAGAGAAACTCATGATTAAATTGACTTTACCTTGCAGTCAGTAACTAGTTTAATATGTACTTAATGAAGAGTCAGCTCAAAAATATATTTAACAAGGCTCTACTATTCTTTATAAAAATTCTTAGTAATTGATAATCATAAGCCAAGTTTATTAGTTTTAATATTTTACGATTGTCCTACAAGTTTAAGACAATTACAAAGTGGCAGAGCCTTGGTATAGAGTGTATCTCAGAGGTGTGCAATGGACTGGGAATACCAATTTCTTTTTTTTATTGTACTTTAGATGAAGGTTTACAGAAGAAATGTTTCTTATTAAACAGTACACATATTGTTTTATGACAATGGTTAACAACCCCACGACATGTCAACACTGTCCCTTCTCAACCTTGGGTTCCCTATTACCAGC